TCCGATACGCGCGTAGCTCCTGATTACGACAAAATGAAAATGACAAACTAAGAAGTCTGCACGTGTATAATATACGAATTATATTTCTAGGCATCTACAGAGACATGTACATAACACAGTTCAGAATATATTTGTTTTTCTTTTTCTTCCTGATATTTTTTTTATCGGTTCTGTGCTTATTCTTCCCTTGAATTTTTTACATAAGCGAATAATTGAAATTATCTGTTCTACGCTAATTCACGGCACAGATTCATTTCATTCTGCATGAGAATTTAAATTAATCCGTTTGAGTATAAGAGCAAGAATAGTTACAAAGTTACGACGTGTCCCACGCGTACACGCGCTTCCATTTAACTTACACACATCACACACACGTACAGACAACGTGGTTCCTGTGTTCACATACGCATGTATTGCACGGCGCAGCGATGGAAGACACGTGCTTGCGCTCAAACTGAGTGACAAGTGCAAGGTATTGTTCCCAATTACTTTCACATACCGTTAGTCAAGAAATGTGACTAAGATGATATTAAGAGAGCCATTGCTTGGCCGCCACCACTCCAGGATGAAATTCGTCGATACATATATTACCCATTTAATTATGTATCTTTAACGATTAGAATAATTACGGTTAAGAGATGGTATTGAGAGAGAACGACTTCCAAAGTTGAATTGTCCGATCGTGTTCAATTGTTGGACTCATCAACTGAACCGAACTCTTTGATTTTGAAACGTTACTATTAGACGTTCACTTCGCGCCTTTAATAATAAATAAAAACTGGATTGTTAAAAAATAATGGTAGACTTTTTAACGAGTCGTTAAAATAGGATATGATAGCATTATTTCAACGCGTATAATAACAATGTTTGATATTTTCACGTTAGAAAACGCATGTATGCCTATTTCTTTGCTTTGAGCTTAGTTTAAGTTACGTTTTACGATCATATATTCATATATGTGAATCCATGAACAAACAGCAATTGTATTTAAGAGCGTATACTTAAAATATGAACATAAAATAAATTGACAAAATATTATTTCTTTTCACTAGTAGCATGCTGGTACTTATTGTAATTTTCAACACGTAATTTCCACATTTCGTTGACAAATTTTATAATACATATATTATAACGTATATAAAAAAAACTAGAAATTCTGTAAAATGTATTGTACAAATAACAATGTGACATTTGTTTATATCCATATCATTTATATATATTCGTTTTTTCTTGATCAATTTCTTCATAAACTGTTGTAATTCAAATATCATAAAGAATTTTCGAAATGAGTACGAGTATACAAGTGAAAAACCATTAGGACAAATTGAATTATTATTATTTAATGTATAGTTGCATTTGCTTCCAATTCATGTAACACATTAAAGATACATTGTAATCATAAGTTTCATAAATGTAAATTAAAAAAAATTTTTTAAACGAGAACCTGGAGTGGTGCGCGGCACTACATTCTAGGATTTTATACATATATTAGAATGGGATTGTATATAAATTTTTAATCTAATTATAATGTGGAACCTTTTTGAGGCATGTTATGTTTCCTCGTGTACAATATTACTTCCAAAATTTCAGCATTTGTGAGGGATGGTATTTTAATTTTTTGAAGTCTTTATATATATATATTTTTTTAAATATTATATATGCACTTATATATATATATATATATATGTGTGTGTATGTGTATATATGTATGTGCGTGTATTGTATATATACAATTATGTATATATACATATAGTTAACACACGCGTGCGTACAGAAAAAATATATTGATAGATGAGATTATATAGTTTATATATAATTGAAAATAATCTTGTTAATTTAAT